CAAAACCTATGGTCAATGTTCTTTTACGTTTGCTTCTGCCTATTTCCAAATTACATATTCTTCCAACTCTTGCAACAAGTCACAGCAACCTATTTGTTTAGTGGCTTTTCACATGCGTTGCGCCTTTGATCTGTTTGGAATTGGCGCCATATAGATTCGTAATTATTATTATTATTATTATTATTATTATTATTATTATTAATATAGTTTTTAGGTAGGCCTATGTCGTAAATTTTTGACTCAGTTTTATCATGTAAATGTGATACTGTTTCTAAAGTATATAGTGTCCAAATAACTTACTGTATTTATTACCTGATTTATTATTAATATGACGATTCCATAATAAGGAGTTGAATTGCTTGGTGTTATCGATAGCCAGTGTACTAATACTTGATAATACGCCTTTTTCACGAATCGGTAGACATCTTGAAGTGATGACAAACATTGCGAATCAGCGGTGCGTAACCAACAGAAATAAGATAAGCTTTTGGGCGGATTTTTTGACATCATGTTATTTAAAAAATCATAACTTTATAACGGGGCGTCGTGTCCAAAAAAAATTTCCAGCAAAATGTTCTTAAAAGACTAGTCTACACCACTATATGATTGAAAAAAAATTGAAAAATTTTGTTGACCTCTGAAATCAAGATTGAAAAATAAAAGCCTATCTCAGTAGTGTATTAAAATAGGTATATGCATTACAGTGCTGTAGTACTAGTAATACTCTGAACTAGCATTGTTTTAGTTACCATATGAGTTTCCTGTGTTAAAAACATGATTTACCATACTATACCTCTTTATAAAACATAACTTGTACTTTGTAATAAGAGAAATATGTATATTATCGCTACTTGGAACAGTAACAACTCGAAAGTCCTATGCTACTGCACTGTAATGCATTGGCCTATTTTAATACACTACTAAGATAGGCTTTTCTTTTTCAAACTTGATTTCAGAGGTCAAAAAAATTTTTCAATTTTTTTTCAATCATATAGTGGTGTAGACGGGTCTTTTAAGAACATTTTCCTGGAAACACTTTTTGGATACGACGCCCCGTTATGGACTTATGATTTTTTAAATAACATGATGTCAGAAAATCAGCCCAAAAGCTTATCTTATTTCTGTTGGTTACGCACCGCTGATTCACAATGTTTGTCATCACTTCAAGATGTCTACCGATTCGTGAAAAAGGCGTATTTCCGTCAACTTATTGTAATTCGCGTCAACATACGTCATCGACCGGCCGTCAACGAGAGTTAGTCGGTCCGGTCCGCTGGTAAAACCAAAACATGATCTTAAAGTGGGGGATCGTTGCTCCTTTTTGATGTTGTGATTGTTGTTGTTGTTGGCTTGTTAGGCCTCGTTGAAATGCCTTTATATGAAGGATTAACTGCAGCTGTCGAGAAAACAGCTGTCATTCTCGACTTAGGATCTGCTTATTCAAAGTATTTTATAAAAATTCTTATATCAATTTTTTTTAAATACTTTTTACATTCATTGACTGACACGCCTTCCCCGGCCGAGAATAGGGAGGCCTAGCCTAGCTCGTTAGGTCTGGCTGCTTGCCGTAGCTTAACTAGGGCCTAGGCCTAGCCTATTTTGTGATAGACGATCGGGCCCAAGGCGATTGGGCCCATTTTAAGACGATCGGCGATAATAAGAGTGGACGACCGAGCCCACACCAAGACGATCGGGTCCATTTAGTGTGGACTATTGGGCCCACTTTAATTCTGATTCATATTGTTGCATTCTAAATTTATTTACGCCGTGGCTAGAGATACGGTACCGTATCGGAACTTCCGATTGTTAAAGGTACGGTAAATGATATTACGTCATGATTAGCGAATAGAAACGCCGATACATGCGTGACGTCATTCAGTGCACTGCTGCTGCAAGAGTAGCGAGTGTGTGTTTTAGAGTTTTAGCAGCGATCGAAGATAAGAAATTTCGTTCGTTCGCGGGTGAAAAGCTGTGATTAATTATTCTGTAGCCTGAGGCCCTATAGCAAATACAAGGAATAGCAGTTTTGCTAGATTTGGCAACATCAAGCGAGCGTAAACTATTTTAATAGTAGAAGCTAGGCCTTAGCTACCGGTGTAGAGTCGTTTCGGCCCTGAGTCAATGCGGCCTGGGTCATTTCGGCCCGAGTTGTTCGGCCCTGAGTTTGTATTTTTATCATGCATTTCGGCCGCTGTGTATGGAGCGCCGAAGGTGCGGCCGTGAATAATAATTTAACAGAAAAAGGTGGCTAAGCAGCATACCGTTTGTTAAACATAAAACTGATTGGTTTGGAGACGCATTTCTTTTTATCTTTTCTATACGATATATATTTGGATCATGTTTATAAATGCTTCAATAAAATTACGCCTATAATCATAGTAGTACGCCCATAATCATAGGCCCCTAGGTGGGTATTCGGCCTAAGCCTATAGCCTTAGTATAGTAGACCATTCTCTATGGTAGACCATAAAATACGCAAGAATAACAGAAAGGACTTTTAACCCAAACATTGTGATAAGCCCCTACCGAAGTACTTTATGATGAAATGGGCCTATCATGATATAATTTTGATCGTAACTGTTTGCGCCACATGTTTCTCGTGACCGCGATATCGACTTTGCAAAAAAAAGCCAAAATCGAGTTGGTCATTTCTATTGGCTAATCATGACGTAATATCATTTACTGTACCTTTAGCAATCGGAAGTTCCGATACGGTATCGTATCTCTAGCCACGGCGATTTATTTAACATACAGACAAGTATTGTTTTATTATTAAGAATCGTAGGCCTAATTAAAATAAAATCAACATATATCTAATTTATTTTCGGAAAATAAAGACTGATTTCCTCACAGATTTTTGCAAAAAATTTAGCTTTGATCTAATCATCTGTGCACCTATTTCCTTGTGATTTTCCATGCAAATTTGAGCTCTATGTGAGGTTCTTACCTTAGTGATTCTTACCTTAGTGATATAAGGAGGCAATGAGTTAATACTCGTAGAGACTGCCTCCTCTCAATGTTTCCATGTGTCGGTCATAGGAAACTTTGAAGTGGTAAAGTGTTGTGCATGTGACTACATGTTATGGTAAATTGTTCGATGGTTTGATTACTCTGGTGTCAAAGAAAGAGAGGTATCATCATCTGCACAATTACAGTACTGTACAGTAATGTGCCTAGGATGGTAGAGGATTGCGCTTTTATAATTCACATTAAAATTTTAAATTTATTTATTCATGTATAAAATATGCACAACAAGCAGGCTGAAGGCAGAAAACATTGAATTTACAAAATGTTTACAATTTATAAACATACACAATTAATTACCAATTAATTTGTAAAAAAACATAAACAATTTGTCACTTAAGAGCACAATCTATGCGTTTATTTCAAATGAGGCTCTGGAGGGCGCGTTTATTCGAATAAATATGGTATATACTGTATAACATTTCAGCACCTTGTTCTCCTTATTATTTGAGCAGATATATTCATGACAAAATAAAACCAATTATGTAGTTCTTACTAATTAATTTTACTTAATTTTATTTATAATTTTATTTATAAAACATTTGTTTATGTTCTAGAGTTGGCTTTGCTGGTGAGTGCCACCCAAGAGCTATATTAAGAAGTGAAGTAAAACGAATTAAAACTGGCAAAGTTGTTAAGATATTTGGTGAACCTGACACAGAGGATGACCTTTATGACACGCTTGTTGATTTTCTTCATACAATCTACTTCAGGTATGTTGACCTACAATATTGGGCTGTGGCTATTTTTAAACCAGTTCCTACAGTAGTTTTGATTTAGAGATTTCCCAGAAATATTTCTTTAAATATGTTGACCATCACACATGTGTACAGAAAGCTTGCCATTGGAACTTAGTATGGGCTTGTCTTCCTATTACATTGTTTAGACCTAGGCTACTATGGCTAACAATAGGTACATGTATGCTTTAGACCTAGGCTACTATGGCTAACAATAGGTACATGTATGCTTTAGACCTAGGCTACCATGGCTAACAATAGGTACATGTATGCTTTCTCCATTAAAAAGGCTTCTTGTATGAATGGAATGCTGATCCGATGGAAGCACGAACTCCTGCAGACCAAACCTAGAACTGTTTTGATTTTATTCATACAGGAAATCTACTCTTGAAGTATTAGGAAACTTAATCAGTTTTAAAAGTGTCATATGTTTGACCTATTCTGAGTAACTATATGACCAGTATTTTAAAAAAATGATAAATAAATTTAAGTTTCTTTCTAAATTGTTTTGTAAAGACATCTGCTTGTGAATACACGGGATCGACGGGTGATTATATGCGAGTCATTCCTCTGTCCCTCATCATTTAGAGAAACTCTTGCAAAGGTGCTGTTCAAACACTATGAGGTAAGTATACTATGTCCATGGTATACTGTATAGTGTTTTATAATTACATTTTGATGCAATAGAGTGTTATTACATGTTTGATTTATGCATGGACACAAAAACATGTGAGTATTTCAGTGATTTGTCTGTAGATATTTCAAATCTTTGAATAGATTTATAGGCCTACTGTACTGTATAATTGAAACAGAAAATTCTTATATTTCAATACTTTATATTTTGTTTTTTATTTGTTAAATATACATGAGATTCAATACATTTTAACCAGTGTTTCTTTACATAGGTTCCTTCAATCCTGTATGCACCTAGCCATTTATTAGTGCTGTTTACGTTGGGAATCAACACAGCTCTGGTCATTGATTGTGGTTATAATGAAAGTCTTGTTCTTCCAATATCCTTTTTACTTCTCCTTGGAGAAAGCTGCAGTTGTAATTAAGATTAACATTTCTCTGTAATATAAAGCTTGGTAAACCTGCAAGTATTTTCTTTAATTTGTGATTACGTTTGTGAATGTACCCCAATCTTGAAGGGATGGCAGGCAATACCACTTGCAGGACATGCTATTCATAAGTAAGTTTGCTTGGTAGTGGTAGTAGTAGTACAGTAGTAGTAAGGATGGTGAAGCTGGTAGCTATAGTTGTGGTGGAGGTGGTAGCGGTGATGGTAAAAATGGTAATACTGTAGAGGTTGCGGTGGTAGTGGTCATTGTAATAGTGGTACTGTAGCTATATTTGTTGTGGGGTAGTAGTAGTGGTGGTGGTAGAAGTCGTAATACAGTAGTGGCTGTGGTGGTAGTAGTTTAAGATAGTAATGGTTGTGGTAGTGCTTGTGATGGTTGTAGAATGGTAAGGCCTGTTTGCAATGTATATTTTACTTTAGCCTAATAATTTTGCAAAATATAAAAAGGGCTATTTTGCAAATGGATTGCTGACATTATTAAGGATAATATTATAAAGCTGCTAGGTATGGTAATTTCAAGAGCTTTACCAGAACTTTCAAGAGTTTAAAATTTTTTGCATACTGCAGGAAACTTGAAGCCTATCTTCTTGAGAAAAGTACGGTCAAAGGTCATACAGTGGAAGAGAAGCCATTGTCATCAGTCATGGGTCATGTACAGGAAACTGTCTTAGAAGATATTAAAGGTATTTTAGTATGTTCTTACTCATCAGCATCATTGGTTTTTTTGCCTTCTGCAATTATATATGTTATACCTATATAAACTATTAATTGCTCTTTCTATTTGGTCATTTTCAGTAAGAACCTGTTTTGTCTGTGATTTTCAAAGGGCTGCTAAAATTCAAGAATTCCTCTTAGATGGCAGTGATGTTAAGGTGATTACATATTGTTATTTATTAAATATTTATCATTTCATATTTTTGCTAGATACATTATGTACATTAGCTCATCCACACCACCATAAGCAAATATTTCCAGGTTACAGCGTGTCACAGATCTAAATCTCAATAATTTCAAATGGAAAGCCAGCCAAACATATTTTATATACTACAACCCTCAATTTTCATTACTACAACATTTCAATCAATAAGACTGATGAAATATGTTGGACATTAAATGTTAAAAACAAGTTGTGATGACAAGTAGTGATGTCATCAAACCTCTCTGACTTGAGGTGTGATTGATATTGTGATTGTTTTACTCAACATAGGCCACCACCACCCCCCTCCCCCCTGTTGACTACCCACTGGATGGTGGCAGAATATTAGAACTTGTTTTTGTTGACCTAAGGAAAAGCAGTACATCATTTACCATACTGGAGACAATGCCATTGTTTTGGCTATCCTTCATCTAAGCTGGAGGCAATGCTGTTGTTTTAGCTTTCTAGCAACACCTCACACTCACACAGACTGTCAAAACCTGGTCCACCATTCAACAGCAACCTTCACTTTCCAACCATATAAGTATTTCCCTGTTTTGGACCCTGCCGGTTTCCTAAAGACGATCGAAGCAACTTGGTTGAAACTTTGAGACCATTCTATGTGGTGTACCGCAAGCATGTAATACATTGTTACAGTCCTTTGCCATGCAAACATTCTCGACTGATGCAAATTCATCTATTTATTTAATTTTCACAAAATGATATGTGCACCATGAAGTTATAATAATACTAGTATGAATATTAATAATAATAGATAATAGCTGTTTACTTGTAGAAAGAAGGTATCTTTAGTTGTAGTGATAGCTAGCTAAACAGATACAAAGTGCAATATTCTGTGTACAACTTCAAAATGTTAGATAAATTTTCTGGGACTTTTTTAGTTTTTGTTTATCAATACTTGGTATGAAAACATTGGCTTATTTATTGCATGTCAAATATGAAATACTTCAAATAAACTATGTGCCTCAAATTTATTTGTATCTGTATTTTGTGGTCAGATAAAAAAAATATAGTATTATCACTTTAGTTTTAATCACCCGCCGACGACTGGTTCACAATTGCTAATTCTTTATTCTTCTTTACAAAAACGAATTGAATCGATAAAACTCACTTTTCAAAGGACATATTCGCAATGCTAATTAATTCGGCACAACGATTTACTTCTGTATTACGGAAGACAAACTAATCTCTAATTTGTTTAGGTTGGTGGAGAAGCCGGGAAAATAATATGGAATACAGGAATAGTTAATATATTATTATAAAATATGATCGATTATTAAACTTATACCGTATACATTACATTCCGCTGATTTTCAAACATTGCTATTACACTAAACATCATCATGATCGTATCCTCGTACGTGGATGGAACTTACTGCGACGAATTTCCAAGTGAATTTTTGCTGCAATTTTTATTCGATTACCAGCCAAGCCAAGTTTTTGAAAAAAAAAAAAAAGAAAGACGGCATTGTATGCGTCCGATAATTGGTGAGAGAATTTATTTATCAGTTTCTTAAAACTCAAATAGGCCTATTGAATTGTTTAGCTCAACCAGGGAGTTGTTATGTGAACAACTCCCTGGTAGGGTATTTCTGTGATTTGTTTTTGTGTACTTCAGTTATCATTAACTGAAGCGCCTGAGCTTTTTAAAATGGATATGTCCACAAATTATTTATAGAGTAGAGACCTATTTTTATTTATAATGATAACGCAAATGGTACGGAAAGAATGAAACGAGGGAGGATATAAAATAACTTTACTTTCCAAGCACGCATCCGCCGTAGCACCTGACTCTAGAGGGGGCACCTCTGGCATTAGTGAGTCACTCATCATATCAAAAGCAAAGATACTGGATATGGTGGTTTGCCTGAACAAAATGTTCGGGCCGCGGCAAAAGACGGTGGAATTTATCTAAATAACACTCTTGTTGCATGCAACATGAGTAGTTTAGCAGAATCGTGAGTTAAGTGGTGACAATATAGTTACCATGGATATAGTTTCAATGGCACTTACAAGTGTACAACAGAATTCTGAATTGTTAGGCCTAGCCACTGTAGCGCAGCAAGACAACGATGTGCAAACAGTGGAAGGCGGCCTTAGTAGCGGTGTCCAAGCGCTTTCCGATCATGCTTCGGTGGACACCTCAGTAGGCCTAGGCCTGGGCTCCAACACATGCCCAACGACTATGATTGGTAATTCTGTTGTTACTCCGAGTATCTCAGAAAATGGGACTCCAATCCTCTTGGTTATGCGTCAGGAAGAGCTAATACGACCACCACCAACTGAAACATCAGCGTTGTTATTGTCAAAGTTGCCAACAACAGCAGAGAAACAGTCATTTGTTGGTACCCAAACACTTCAGAATGGTGAGGATAGCTTTTCAAAGGTTGTTGAAAAAACAGGCACAGAAACATCAACAGCAACAAGACCTGCAACAATTTCAACAAGCAGTAACCTTATGAATTCTATACCAGTGGAATTATCGTCATCAACCAGTGCAGCAAGCAGTATTCTGGGATCCATCGCAAGTATGATTGATCAAAATGCTGCGAACGTAACAAACACAAGTATTGTTTCAACAGACATGACCAGTTACAGCACTCTGACAAATACTACTACCAGCAGTACGAATAATGCTGACAGAGTTGCACTACCTAGGGCACTACATAGTACTTTTCACCAGAGTCAGGCACCCTTGACAGTGCCACAAACAATTGCCAAAGAACCACGGTTACCATTAACTGTACCGCTTCAAACAAAATCCGCAGCGACCATTACGATCAAGACACCTCTGGGGACTTCGCTTACAGGACCAAATGGCTCAATGAGTGGACCTCTTTTGCAGACTATCCTGAACAATGCAGAAGTTCAGGCTTTGATGAAACGAAACCCTGGACAACAGATCACAATTGTTCAGATTCCTGATGAATCATTAGGAAACACTAACTGTGCATCAAACTCAATTGTTAAATCTGCAGCCACAGAAACAAAGAAAATCATCCCAGGAACTAAGATCAATCATTCGAGTGTGGGTCGGAAACGAAAAAAGTTAGAGGAGTCTGAAGAGAAAGCAAAGCCGCAGAAAATTACAAGGCCTGTGAAGAAGATAACAAGGTCTGGCCGAATATCACGACCACCTCTCTACCGCATCAGAGACTACAAAACCATCCATCCGACAGAGGAAGTCGAAAGTGGTTCTTCTGAAGAGGATTATAAAGATTATTCTATTGATGAAAAGGATAGGGATGCCTCTATTTTTTCTGATAAACCAAAAAACTTCAAATGCACAAATTGTGATAAGTCATACATTGGACAGGCAAGTTTGGACCGACATTTTCGGCAAAATCCCACACATGGTACACCAGTAGGACCGTCACCTGAAAAAAAACTACCAGAAAATACACAAAGGTATAACAGATAGTAGAACTAAAATATTACAGTTAGTAACATAAATAAACAATAAAATTATGATAAGCTATATTCCTCACTACTGGTAATTGATTTTTTAATGCTAAATTACTGTAATTAATTTTAAAGCACTAAATCCTCTTAAATGCTTCTTGTTTTAATTTTAGTGTTCTTTAACAGTATCCAAACATTTGGACTTGTCTTGTTCAAATATATACTATACAGCCTAAAAATGATTTTTGACTTAATTTTCCATAAAAAAGACCCACAATCAAAGTAAATAAACAATAACCTTTTATCTTCATTGGCAGCATGACGGTAGATTCTGACGAGGTAGTGAAGCCAGCGGAGCAGATTTCAACAGAAGCTGGAGATATAAACTCTAGTGAAACTACAACTTCTCCAGCACCAAGATTGCAATATCCTTCAACAAGGGGCCGAGGAAGGGGTATGAGGAGACGTAGAGGCCGGGGGAGGCCGCCAATATACAGTAACCATGCTGACAAACCTTACAGCTTGGCATCATCTTCAGTTTGGATCAACACAGAAAAAGTCCCTCTGGACAAGAGGAAACAAAAGGCTAAAGAGGTAATTAATAATGTTTATGTTTTGCATTTTTTCTTACTGTAGCAGTATATCACTGACATCAATATCATATTCAAAAAGATAAACTGGACTATACAGTAGACTCACTTTCCCACTCACGGTGGATTTAGGGGCCGAGCTGGCCCCGGGACACCCCCCTCCCCTTTTTGGAAAGTTAAAAAAAAAAGAAAGAAAAAGATTATTGATTGCCCAAAATGCCTCAGTGGTTATTTCCAGGCATCTAGGAAACAAAAATTTCCCATATCCCCTGGGTAGTGTTTTCTCTTCATCGCGGCCCTCCCACCTCCTTCCCCTTTCGGTTCCCTTTTTGGACATACCTGGATCCGCACCGCCTCTTGTCATAAATATTATGACATATATTAATATCATTCATTTACTAATTATAATTGTTCCTCTCATTTGCTTATTATGTAATTAAATGAACTTTCAAAAGAATACTGTTCTACATGTATATAATATTTTATTGCAATTCAATACTACTTACTGTAAGTTACATTCTATCTCATTCACTACCTACTTAATGATTAATATCTTTGATCAGAGGCCTTGCATAATTACACAAATAATGTGATTAGCATAGGACATGAAACCATGAATTTTCTGTTGGAAGCCAAAGTCATGATACTGCAGTGCCACATATTCTACATATAATACTAGTAGTGATAATAAACACAATTAAAATAATATTTAACTGACTGTGACCAAAACATGTCTGCAGTTTCTGCTGGGATTTTGTCAGATCTATCAGACAAGATTCCTGTGTACAAATCCTTGCTCTACCACTGCTTACAGGCCTGAAAGATTAAATATGTTATTGGTACTTCTTTATCATGTCTTAATTTCAGTTAATGAAGACATTTGAGGATGAAGATTTCCTTGATGTTATCCTTCCTCGAATGACTCGCATACTTTCACCCTTTGAGTTTCTGCTGATGAAGGCAGAAGGTGAAGAATCTAGAAGCCTGAACTTTATAGCCATCTACAATGAGTATCTGTCCCTTGTGCAAGAAGTGAAGAAGGTTGCCCAGGGATGTCTGGCACATATTCCTGAGATGGAAAAATCTGACGGTGGCAGTTTTCCACCGGTGAAGAGGTTGAATGTAGAGGATGCAGCTGTGGCAGACTCTTTGGGACTCAGCACAGGTTGGTATGAGGTGAAAGATACATTTATGCCCGTGAATTCAGGCAATCATAATGTCACACGGAAAGAACCAGAAAAACTGATGAAACCCGTAGAACCAGTGGAACCAGAGAGACAGCCAGCAAAGAAGGCAAAGGTGGATGAAAATAAAAATGGATTAGGAGCAGTAAGTTAGAACTTAATTTTCTATTCCCATCAAAGAACAAAAATGACCTCACTTTATACTGGCTGGTAGTCTATAAATATAATTGGCAGATTCATTTTTGAGGTTTTTTTAATGAAAAAAAAAAAAGAATATATATATATATATATATATAAATTTAT